TTTAGATGAAATCAACTGAAGATTTAAACAACTTTAATGATTTAAATGGTTTAATAAACACGCAATTAGTCGACTAATAGTTCAAATGAATGATTACTAGTCGACCAGAAAAATCCTTAGTCGAGGGCAGCCCTAATACATATACATGCTTTACATGTTTTATTATTACATTATTTAGTTTGAATGTGATTAACGCCATTCAGAAAAACATTTTTATTCTATAGAGCTTCTGAATGGACAACCATACGTCCCCAAGTAGGGTATGATGTCATACATTTCAAATATCATAAATATTTAAAGTCCATTTTGAGCTTTTCTCAACTTTCAGGTGTGCACTAGCATATATACAAGCTCAAAACATCCAATAATTCAACACTATACACTGTTTTTGAACCGTTATTAAACAACCTTTGAGTAAATATTTGGCAAAAATTACACATGTTCTCATATTAAATTGTGTTATGTATATGTCATCGGCTATTGGCCACACTTTTTCTAAATATCTACAATGGCCTTTTATTCAACAATTCGTCTCTTTCGTTCAAATCAAAGCGTAAATACACATAGAAAACGTATCCTTGTGTCACGGCTGACACAGAAAAGCGTACGCTGCCTGCGTTCAGCTCATATTCTCCAAAATGGCGCTACATTGATGCGGAGAGACACAGAGGAGACGAATTGTTGAATAAAGTCGTTATTTTTGTTTTCTTCGTGTACAAAAAGTATTCTCGTCTCTTCATAATGTTACGGTTGAACCACTGATGCCAGATGGACTATTTTGACGATGCTTTTCATACTTTTCTGGACCTCGACAGTGTAATTTACTTGGCAGTCAATGGGACAGTCACAAGCCTCCCGGTTTTCATCCAAAATATCTTAAATTGTGTTTCGAAGATGAACAAAGCTTTTACGGTTTTAGAACGACATGGGGGTAAGTGATTGATGACAAAATTTTCCTTTTGGGGTGGAGTATCCCTTTAAATCTGCATCATTGCGTCATGTTCATTAACCAATAAGCCCTCAAATGTGTAAGAAATCTAAGTTCTTATAGTTACAGTCAAGTTCAAACTATTTTTAAATGATTCAGAAAATTTACAAAAATTTTAATTTCAATCATTTATTGTAAGCTCCGCTGCTAATGTGCAATAACGCATCCAAAGTAAAAAAGGAGGTGTCAAGTTATGCAGAATAATGGAAACCAGTTTTGAGTCGTCTGCTCATTCCGATCGACTTACCTGACTGTTATTTGACTAATGTTTGCGAAACTATGTGGTCGTTTCTTCTCTTCATGTGCTCATATTCTCACAATACTCTCTCCGACCTGAAGGGGAGGCACAACACAGAATAATAAACCGACGAGTCTTAAAAACGAGCTGATTTGTTCTTTCACACGGCTACTATGAGATTGAAACGTTATCTTTAGTATTAGGAAACGTGTGATTTTTTTAATCTAACCCAAATTAAATTTGTATTCCAGTAAAACGGCTTAATTACTCAAGTCGTCTCATGTCCTCGGAGCTCATTCTGAGGGGTCTGTCCATCTCGTTTACTTTTGTTAAGATGCTGTTCTGAGATGTTTATTTTGCTCTTTCCAGAAGCCTCCATTTCTTTTCCACTTGTTCCCTCTGCTTGTGTCAGCTCCTCAACATGTCCACTTTCCAGCACTTTCTGCACTTGTTTCCTCATCAACGTGCTAAGGCTATACAGAGAGACCAAATACACCGTTTATAAATATTAATCTTCAAATTATTTAAGAATAATAAAAAGTTTTGAGCCAGATTGTAATAAATAACATGACAATTATTAATGTATATGCCCATTTATTCCCCTTTCCCTCATGAAAATGAAGTAATTAATTTTAGTTTGCATATAGAAAGTTGCATATAAAAAGTAATCTTTACTAATGTAATGCAATATAACATAAACAGACATATCACTTTTGGTTGTTACAGTCATTACATTCCTGTATAATGGAAGCAGAAACGAGAGAAAAAACACAGGTTAGAAATACTCGTGAGCTAAAAAATAAGGATGTTTTGACATGGTTATGGCCTCGCTTCTAAAGAATGAATTCATTAATTGGCATAATCAAACTATGCTCTCCCTCAACACAATACAACATTTATCATTATAAAACAGCGGTGGGCCGTCATTTAATACACATCCATGAATGTGTATTAAATTATTTCCAATAGTTTATCCTCTTCATTTCATAGCTTTTCTCTCGGTTGCACTGCTTCCAGTGGTGTATGTTTTTCTTAGAGCTTTTATCCAATCATATTTCAGCAATCGTGTTGCCAGGGTCAAAGAAATCTGCCTAAGGCCTTCAGAATCAACAGCGCAGGCATCTGTAGCATAAAATCAATGGCAATGAAACCGTTGTTTTAACCAATCAGATTGAGCTGGCAGCACCAGGGCCATTTAGCAGGCTTACGATAACGTCAGCATTTTCTCGTCCTTTGATTGGATGGTCAGAGAGTGTCCTAGTCAAAGCTAGCAAAAAGCATCACTGCAAATCATTTTTGTTTTCACAGTATCATTACTGTTTCTCAGGTTCCTTGTCGTATATGCTGTGTACAGTGTGTTATTGTAGATTTTCAGTGCATTCTGAAAAATATTCGCCTTCTGTAAATCTAAATACAATAGTACTAAATGACCGCGAAAAACAAGCACACACCTCCTCGGCAACGGCTCTGTGAAAGACTCATCACGAAGATGAAAAAACACGAGTATGGTAGGTTCAATTTCATTTTTGACTTTTTTTTTTTAATCGCTTTGTGTGTTGTATTCTAATGTTATTTGCAAGATATAAAGCCACGTTTAAGTTTCCGGAAGAATATCTCAGTTTCCCGAGTCGAGATGTATTAACTGGTCTTTTGTACACATGTATACACTTTTCTTCATCGTCATGTATTAATTTATTTTGTTACTTGCTCACTTTCCCGGTAAAGCTGTGCTAATTAGTATTTTCCTCCCGAAGCGCGCTGGCAGACGGGCGGCGAGACTCGTGAAGACGAATGCAGTAAGAGTTCGTTAAATTGTTAGGTCAACTTTAAAACACGTAATCACCTTATTTTGTTTTATACTAGTGCTGCCAAACGATTAATCGCGATTAATCGCATCCAAAATAAAAGTTTTTATTTATATAATATATGCGTGTATACTGTATATATTTATTTTGTTTATATAAATACAAACACATGCATGTATATATTTAAGAAAAATATGTTATGTTTATATATTAAATATATTTATATAGACCTGTAGCAGGCATCAAATTTGAAATGAGCTCAATTAGTGGATAAAAGTGTAAAATTTCTCCGTTTAAACATTTGTTATGTTCTATTGTGAATAAAATGTTGGCTCGTGTTATTTGAAAGTCTTTTAGTTTTCATTTTATTCAAATGTAAAAAACGTCCCAACATTTCCGGAATTCGGGTTGTATTACGTATATACAAATACACATGTATATATTTAAATAAATATGTTACGTTTATATATTAAATATATTTATATATAATAAAATATAATAATATAAATATATAAAATGTATATGTAAATATTTTCAAAATATATACATGCATGTGTTTGTATTTATATATACATAATAAATATACACAGTATACACACATATATTATGTAAACAAAAA